AAAGATGCATTTCCCTTAAGTTTGATCACTTTGAACAGAAGTTTTTACCTTATAAACTGATCTACCACACTTCTGACCTCACTGGGATATCATATAAAACACAAGAATGACTCCTAGAGTAACATTATTGGAGGCTGAGGATGTTTTCTTCACTTTTATTTTCTAGATTTTATTGAGATTTCATCAACTGTTCCTCTGAGAGTGTCATGGTTTTGGTTCTGTATTAGTTTCCTTTTCTAGTTTTCATTGGTTTTATTTACATTTTGTGCTATGCTAGTTGTTTTTGGTTGTATTTCAGTTTTCATGTATTTTTTCTTAACTCCCTGTTGCCCTTGTGTGTCAGTCTTCTTCTCCTAGCACCCTTTTGGATTCTTCTGTCCACACCTGCTCCCAATCTACTGATTAGCCAAGTCGTCAGTCTCCCATTTATTCTCCTCCTCTTCCATTACTGTTTGCTGATTCCACATTGTTTCTTTGCCCTTCCTGTGTGTTTTCTCTGTCATCTCCTGGATTTTGGTTTTCTGTATTTTTTTTGTTGACTTCTGCTGCTGTTGCCTTAAATCCTACAAGAAACCACCTAATTTGTGTCCTCTTCAAACCTCCACTCAACCTGACAGAGTTCTCAGAAAGATGATCACTAGAGGACAACAAATAATCAGCTGTGAGGAGATAGCATAATCACTGTCCAGAATTTAGATAAGAACATTTTTTTAATGAAGATGAACATTGAACAAATAAACAATGATGATTAACATCAGAATAAATCTGCGGGCTCTGAAATTTAAAGCACTGACGATTTAGAGCAGCTATGAAACATTTATGGGCCCATTAATATGATCATGTTATTTTAAAGAAATTCAGTTTATTGAATAATATCAGACAGTTTTACTTTCTACTTTAGAAACGTGAGGAACTTTTTTCACTAATAACTTGTTGAACCTTCTTGAGGATAGAATTATAGATCTGATGATATAACTAAAATACTTTATCAAGGCACAAACAATAAAGTTAGAGCTTACAGTAATGTATTAAACATAAAACACGTTGAAATGTGTTAATACTGAAAATAAGAGAATGAAAAATAAAATTAATCATACCCTACCCTGAACAGTGATGTTGACGCTGTTGCTGAAGTGTCCTGATCCAGACTCACACCAGTACACTCCACTATGATACCAGTCCATATTGATGCTACATGTAGATCTGTTCATGTTCCCGATGTAGAAGCAGTCAAACAGTAAACCTATTTCTGTAATCCACTTCACTCTCCATTCAGTAGAGTTTCCCTCACAGCTCAGAGACACAGAGTCAGAGTTGAAGTGTTGAACTCTGTCAGGACTCACTGAGAGAGACGCTGCTGGATGAGGATCTGGAAAACAACACAGGATTTAGGCTGAGCACAGAAACAACAGATAAAAGGATTAATATGGATTTTCTTTATGAACATCTTTAATAATAAATATGAATATGTGAATATTTTATCAAAGTGATCAAACTGGGATGTTTTCCTTTAAATCCAATATTTTAGTGAATCTCAGACTTCACTTTCTGCAGAATTCAGGGAGAACAACCTTCCCCTGATCATCCTCCATATCTCAATCCTTCGGTCTGTTTTATGCTCATCCATCTCTGTGGTTTGGTTCTTATCTACAAACAGAACCAGTCTAAAGAAAGGATCATGCTGTCCTTCCATCCATCCAGGAGCGGGGGGGTTCATTTTTGTCATCAGGAATTTGTTTTGAGATGCTTTTGAGATGAGATGCTACATACTGACAAGCAACCACGCAGCTGGCAAAAATCATTCCAGGAATGTTTAATTTGGCATAAACCAAAACAAATATTGTATGAGCGTTACAACAATAGAGATGAATTGTCCAACTAATGCAAAGAAAGAGCATTGTGGCTTTGATGATTGAAGCTTAAAATTAGACTTTGTTCCACTGGAGAACCTGTTTACCTTTAGCTTTATTATGACTCAAGCTATTAGAAGATACTGATAAAATAAAGAAATATTAAATCCTAAATGAAAAAAAATAGAGATGAGAGGTATCGGATTAGAAAAAAAACTTTATAACTATATTCAGCAAATTTAATTAAAGGATCAACCATTTTTCTTAAATCTGCCATTAGGGGGAAGACCATGTTGTTTGAATCATAAAAATATTTAATACAGCTTCTATCTTATTGTATTATATTATAAGTACTGTATGTTTTTTTCAACACCATTATGTAATTATTTTAAGTTCTAAACCAAGATACCATTTAGAAAATTTGAAAACTCACTAACTCACAAAACTTACCAGTTTTTCTTACAGAGACTGAACTGCTGTTTTTAGTGTAGAAAACTGGATCTCCTCTTCCTCCTCTGCAGCTGTACAAACCTTCCTCTGAGATGCTGAGGAATCCATCAGGGTCATTGTTTCTGATGGACTCAGCTGCATGATACAATGACTCCTGTCTGAACCAGTCAAACTGCCATCCAGCAGAGCTGGGCACAGAGCAGGTCAGTGTTATACTGCCCCCTGCTGGTATGACTGTTTCCTCTGCTATTAGTTTGGCTGTTGGTTTTTCTTCTATTGATGGAAACACAAAAACAGTCTTAATAATATTGCTGAATTAAGCGTTTTCTCACCATAAATCTCTTATTCAGCTACTAGAATAAATTAGAGGATTGATCCCCTGAGAATTTGAAGCCACGTTTTACATAAACAATGGATCAACTTTTTTTTTATTGATCAACATATTTTTATTCAGATTGTTTCCAATTTATAGTTTATTTGGTTCGCATATATAGAAAATTAAAACAATGTTTTTATTTCACAAGTATAGAATATGTTAGCCGTACAATGTTTGTGTCTTCATGTTGTTCTAGAAAATATTCAAAGAAAATATTGTTGTTCAATGAAGGAACATTTTTTTTTATCCAATTTTGTTTTTAACAGAAGAGTAAAGTCAGAACATTTTTTAAACTTTTCTGTACCGGTCGAGATAATCTTGCTCACCTGTAGCAATGTTATGTTCATATTAGACACTTACAAAGCTGATCCTTAATGTTATGAAATTAAACGATGATGATTTAAAAAGATTTGAA